TGTGGACACATATAGGGGTTCCCATGTAGACATGTAATTAAGACATGATGGCTATGTTCTATCTCCACAATGCTTCTGAATACCAAACTGCTGGAATGGGAAGCTGGGAGAGGGCTTTTGCACTCAGATGCTGCTTGCAGACTTCCCACTGGGACACTTGGTTGGCCCCTGTGAGAACAGGATTCTGGACTAGATGCGCCTGGGCCTGAACCAGCAGACTCTTCTTATGAGGAAGCAACGGACTCTGCATGCTGCTCCACTGTTCAGCTACCATCAGGAGTGGACAAATTAATCCAACTTTGGTTCTTGTCACTTTTGCATGTATTCATTAGGAAGTCTGTTCCATCTCATTACCACATTGATGTGCATTAAATAATAATAATAATAAGACTAAGAATAACCCACACAGAAATATTATGTAGGGCAAGCGACTTGATCCCTGAGGGGCTGCCTTTAAAAACATGTCCTTGTCTGTTTCATGGGTAATGGCCACTTCGAGCAGTGGGAAAGCTGAATTGCTGCAACAGAAATTCAAAATGAGGTCACAAATGCTCCCAGAAAAGACAGGGGCCTTCTCTACAGCCACAGCAGGAGCTACAACAGCTCGGCAACACCCCCAAAGGTGCACTCCTTCATTGTCTCCTGAGATAGGCAGATGCCAACCAGTGTGTATGGTTTTCCACTCTCCACCTACCATTTATCGACCCAGCTCCCTTGATAAGCAGTTACGGCTCAGGCAAGGCTACCAAGTAAACTTCATGGCTGAGCAGGCATTTGAAGCCAGGTCTCAATGGATCGTTCAACAGAGAATTTGCTGCCACTGGATGTGTTGGGAATTCCCTTCCACCCTTGCAGCAGATATGTGGGATTGTTACATGTTACATTTCTGTTTACATTCCAGCACAGATTGCTGGAGTCCCGTGAGCAGAACATCCGCTCTGTATTGCTTTTGTCCTCTCTCTCTCCAAGAAGAATGACAAGAAGAGAGGCTATGCCTTTCTTTGTCCTGATTTATGTATAATAAATGCGTAGTTTAGTATAGTATCCACGCCTCGAGCCCGATCTGTTGTGTGTTTACTCTGCTGGGTAATGTGTGCTCTTGCATGCACAGCAGCATGAGTTGCGGAAGCATGTCGGAGGAGGATGACTAATGGATCTCCTCAGCAGCAAGGCTGAGAAGGGAGACGCTCCGGCTGGGGCAAGCCAGCTGGCTTTCCATCCCATGGTTCCGACAGGATGTAGGGTGGCCATCAACTTGACAAGTCCACTGAGGACTGGCTATGCATATTATCTCTAGGATCAGAGGAAACATGCCCCAGAATACTAGGCACATAGTATTACAAGGAGGAGAGTGCCATTGCCCCCATGTCCTGCTTGTGGGCTTTCCATAGACATCTGATGGGCTACGGTGAGAATAGAGCACTGGTCTGATCCAGAAAAGGAAGAAAAAACACACTGACTACACCCCTTAAGGAACAGCAGCTGTCCTGCGCCATTTACCTGTGAGTTTAGCTGGTTTTGACACCCCTTCCTTCACACCTGAAACAGTAGCTCTATTTATGAAGTCGTGTTTTGCTAATCTGCTGTTTGTGTGTTGTTTTATTTTGTTGTGATGTTTTGTGTTGTGAGTTTATGGAAAATCAGGGTTCAAAGTTTGATCCCGGTCAGATTTCCCCATCAAAAATGAGTGTCATGACCAGTAAAGAAAATTCTCTAGAGAAACTGAAGAAGCAATGAGAAGAGTATGAAATCTGCCCAGTTATTGCTGTTTTATCCCATATCTATACCCCACCCCCACCTCCTGAATTTCCCTCTCAGTCTCCTTCTTAACTTTCTTTTTCTCCCTGTGTTTCAATCCCTAACACTCAAAACCATTCCCCAAGCCAGAGATCCGAGCAAGATTGGAACATTATTTACTGTTTATTATCTCAAATTATGCAATGCATTTTTTTGGCTGTAGTTTGTCTATTTTTAAAGGGGGGGGGGTAGAGAGTTCAGGTTGTGTGTTCTAGACCTGATCAATCTGGCACACACCCAGCAAAGTTGTTTAATTATTTGATTCCATTCCAAGTTGCATACAGAAGCATAGAATCACCGAATTGGAAGGGACCCTGAGGATCATCTAGTCCAACCCTTTGCAATGCAGGAATATGCACCTGTCCCTTACATGGATCAAACCTGAAACCTTGGCATTATCAGCACCACACTCTAACCAACTGAGCTATCAGTTTTTCAAAAACGTTTAAACTGGTTAAATTGGTTTAAAGGATTTGAGAAATTTGTAAACATGTTAAGACTGTGAGCAAGTTGAAAAAGTTTAGCTTCCTGCTGGAAAAGGACCAAGGTTTAAATAAGGTTTAAGATCATTGTGACCTTATAAAAGCTGGAAAATCTTTTCCCCCCAGGTGTTTGCTAAGTGCATGTATGTTCTCTCAAAAATCATTTGTAACCTGTTAAGCTTGAAAGCTTGAGAGAATATAAAAGGTGGAGAGTGTCCAGAATATTTGTTTTCCTCATTCTCTGCCTGGGATTGTTTTTGTTTTTGGCCATTAATTTGTAGGAGACAAATGCTGTTGGAAGGCTGACAAGAAAACTTCTGCTGTTCATTAACTCTATGCTGGCTAGGATTAACATTCGACATTTGGCAGTGACTAAGTTCCAGAAATAAGAATAGTAGCACCTGCAATTATTATAAGTGATTCAGGGGGGACAGTAAATTGATAGCGGCCAAATTATTTTATCCTGCCATTCTTCAGTGAAAATGGGCACCAGCGCAAAATAATCCTTAAAAGGGCTATAATGAGCCCTTATTGAGGTAGCTATTGACTATGTTCAAAGAGGAAATGAACGGTCTATGTCTCAGTTTGTCATTCACCTGGCAATTTGTTTTGGATCCTTCAATTTAAGGAAATGGGTTCTATTACTATAAGATGATTTTGTAAACCAGATCAGACTGTCTTCTAAGTCTTCTGGGAAGCTTGGGATCTCAGCTGTTTCCCTTGCCTGGGCGAGCAAGATCAGCTTAATACGTTCTTGCAAAGGGAGACCTGCACCAAAACCTTCATTCAGTATCCCAAAGATCTGTTTCCTTACTCTCTCATCCGGTTTATCATCTTTGGGCAAAGATTCCGTTTCCTACAGAAGCAGCTCTGCCATCTTATCCTCCTGTTCGGTGGGTTTTGCCCTCCAGTGCACATAGCCTGTGTGGTACCAGGAGGATCTTTCATTTGCCCAAAATGTGGTGTTGGTTCTGGAAGGGTTCTTTTCATTTTAGCTCTTTTTTCTCAGGCTGCTTGGAAGGGCCAATAGTTACCACGCAACGCACAATAATTTCTTGACTTTGTTAATTACACCAGTCAAGGAAAGGTAAACTCTGACCGATGTGCAAGGTGCACCCCTGGGTTAAATCCATATATTATCTTAAATTGTAATTTCAATAAAATCACTGTAAATACCACCCAGAAATCAAGCATATGACCAGGGCTGTCGTAAGCATATGTGGTGCCAGGGTGCAAAAATCTGCCCAGCGCCTCCCCCTGCCTTCTGGATGGAGTTGCTGTGGCCGGAGCTTGTTTGGATGCCGGGTGTTGGCGACAGGGAGGGGGGTTACAAATCAAATAAAATGGCCAGGGACTCCGCCAAGCTGATTTCTTTTTCGCCTGCGTTGCCATCCTTGCTCACATGTTGCCTCCGTCTCCAGCAAATCTGGGAGGCAGAGAAATGGAAGGAGGGAAGTCAAGGCTGGCAGCCACCGGGCACCCAAGTGGCAAGCCTCTGCGGGTGGCTCGCGAAAGCCCGTCCGGGGACCCAGAGTGCTGCCAGCTTTGGTCCCATGGCAGCACGGCACCTTAAGACTTTGACAATGATTCCGTCGTCAAATGCTGGGCAGGAGGGCGGGGAGTTGGGGTGGAGAGCCACCTGCAGCAGAGCTCACGGACGGGCTCTTCCCCGGACTCAACTCTCGGGCCCTGGGCTCTCGGCCTGGCACCCCTGAAAGCCTGGCGCCCGGGTGCCCCGCACCCCTAGTGCCTATGGGTAAGACGGCCATGCATATGACTCTTTATATCCTTTTCAGGATGGCAATTCCATGTTGTCCAGCTCTGATACAATTGCTACAAGCTGGACAGTGTTAACAGGTTAATATACGAGGAGTGAGTCTGACTACTGTCCCCATATTTGAATGGTACTTGCTATGTAGGGTAGATACTTCCTCCTTAGGTAAGCCTTTGTTTGGATGGAAGGGAGGTTGTAGCCTCTGCCTGTCCCTCCTCATTAAAGGTATCCTGTTAAAGGGATCTGGGGGTGTGGATTCTGTCTGATGCCTGGACATGGGCCAGGGAGCCCTCGGGGTCCCCCTATTTGATGTAAGTCATAGGGCTCCCCCTATTGGTGGTTTCCCCTTAGTTAGACTCCCTGTTAGACGGGCAGGAGTCAGGATATAGCCTGGCTTCACCCAATGCCTAAGCCAAACTGCTCACATCTGTAACCTATAAAATTGTGGCCTATTTCAACCCATAAACCAAAATACTTGTGCACGTGTGTTTATTATCTACTAGGGAACTACGGGTCACGGGGCCTTGGCACACAATTACAGTGGAACCTTGGTTTTCAAATGTCTCGGAAGTTGGACATTTTGGTTTTCAAACACTGAAAACCCAAAAGAAAATGCTTCTGTTTCCGAACATACCTTGGAAGCCAAACTGCTTCTGCAGACTGCCCTTTGCGCCTTGGATTTTGGATGTTTCGGAAGTCAAACGGTCTTCCGGAACAGATGATGTTCGAAAACCGAGGTACCATTGTACTTCCTCCCTTATGAGTAACAAATATTATTCTGCCTAAAAGAAGGTACCATGTTAAAATGAATCTGGAAACTTAATTTCAAAAGGGAGAAAAAAATAGGGAATGCTGGAGAAAACAACAACTTTACAAAACTGTATCATTTGGATGATTCCATTTTCATTCGAGCCTATATGGTTCTTCGCAGCCTCCTTATTTTTGAGGCTGTCCCAATGCACATTTGTATTTCAATAAAGGTCTATCTTTTCACTTACTTTAAACTGTCCATGTCAGGAAGATGCTCTGATCCATCGATTATTGTGGCACTGCTTTTCTGTAACCTATAAAGCCGTATGAATACCCCTTTAGAAATGGCATTGCCAGCACTGTGTACCACATTTTAAATGGAAACTATGGCCTGACACTGTCAATCATGTTGTGAAAGCTAATGCTTGTGCTTATGTGGATGGAAGGTAACGTCTTTGTACATTCAAACAAAAGTGGCACAAAAGTTCTTTTCTTTTTCTTATTTCTCAGATCCTCAATTCTTTTTTTTCTTTTTTAAAAAATAAAGTCCTTAAACGGAGGGACGGATTTACTGGGAAGCGAGACAGCACAGCACAAAAGTAACAAAAGGATGCTCAAGAGGGGAGAATCAATACAAAGAAAAGGGAAGTCTTGAAAATCTTTACCATATGCTGGTTCAAAGAAAGCCAAGCCTGAAGGAAAGAGAATGCAATGTTACCTAAGAAGGACCCACCCAAATCGCAAATTGCCTATTTGGCTGGTGACTGGCCAAAAACGATGCCAGCTTTTATTAGGCATGTCTATCTCTAGGGCTACTGGCAATGGAAGCTTGTTCAATTAAAGACCTCCAGAGATAGACAGTGTGGTCTGGAGCCAATATTCAAAGCATAATTTTCAAGAGCAGTTGGTTGTTAATGGTGAAGAATTATAATGATAAGACTGAAAAGAAGGCCAATTAGAGAGAATGTCTCTGCCTCCTCCCCTTTTTAAATCACATTGAAACCAGTTTGGAAAAAGTTCTGATTCCCACAAAGCACTGTCAGGACTGCAGTTTTGCCGCAGCACTGAAAATTCTTTGGCAGGGATATGAACGTAAGAACCCTGTTTGATCAGACCACAGGTCCATACTTCATTAGTGGCCAGGAAGGCCACAAACAGGGTGTGAAGACACCAGCCCTCTCCCACTGTTCTTCCCTGATGCCATAACTAAGTTATGACATCCATGGGACTTAGTAACCGATAACTTCAACAGGATCAGGGTTAGAGCATGCCCACATTCTACAAGCACAAGTGCCCCGTGGTGACAAGGTAGTTTGGGCCAAGAAGTGTTCATGTGCCCAGTGGCTGAGTGTGCATGTGTGAGAGAGGAGCTGCCTCACATAAGAAGTCCTCTGGCATGTGGAACATCAAAGGTTCTGCACCCCTGTAACAGAGTATATGCTTTGGATGTAGAAGCTTAAATCCACAGACTTTCATGTTGAAGGATCTGTGTAAACAGGACAGGGGGAAGACCCTGGACAGCTGCATGCTGAAAGCAGCTCCGAACAAAATATCACAGACCTGGCATCAAGGGTTGGGGCTTGAGGGGAATGTGGGCACCTAAGGCGGCTGCCTGCAAAATGCCAACTTACCAGGGGGATAATTTGTAGAAGAAAGGAAAGCAATAAAAAGCCAAACAAGAATTTCCCTGATTTCTTCTCTGCCCTTTGCTAATTTCTGAATGGAGTTTCTTTTCTGACATGCACCAGAGATTGGCAACATGGTGCCCTCTAGGTGATATCAGACTCTAACACTCAACCAGGGTGGTCAAAGGCCAGGGATGATGGGAACTTCCAGAGGGCGCCATATTGGTGGTCATTGTTATGCATGTTAACTCAGAAATATGTCACACTAGGCAATAACCTATTGATGTCCTTGCAGCAAAGCAAGGGCTTTTCATCCAGTGGGAGGGCTTTCTTCATGGAAAAGGGGATTTTTTGTTGGCCAATTTCTCCTGCTTCTGAGAGCCCCCAGCAGCTCCAGGAAAATTGTTTTGTAGGGTTCTCAATGATCAAGTCAGTGTCCGGGCCAGTTGGCAGACCAACTCTGTGTTACAAAGATTTCTGCACATGTGACGTGAAGGCTGCCATGTGGGAAACCCTTGCAGATGATCGCAGCACCTGGAGACAGGCAGATGAGTTGTGTATCCATAGCAGTTACCAGAGGAGGAACGACCGCTGGGATGAGTGAACAGAGAAGAAACGCCTTGGTGCATCTGCATTTGGAGCAGCACAACTGGACACCTTCATCTGCCCCAGCTGCAACAAAACATGTCTCTCCAGCATCAGTCTCTACAGCCACAGCAGGCACTGCAAACTTCCAACAGCTTGACCTCACCTCCAAAAGCACACTCCTCCTTTGTCTCCCAAGACAGACAGATGCCAGCACAGGGTTCCCAATGGTCCAGAAATTGTATATCACCCGTTATGTTAAATGGGGCATACTCCCATGTAAGTTCACAAAGAAAGTAGCTGTAGTCACAACTGGCTTTAGCTAGTTTGAGGCTTCCACATATGCATTGCCAGGGGACTCTGAGAAACCATAATACAACCGTGGAAAATATATATGTATGCAAGTTAAAATCCTTCAAATATACTCAATTGAAAGCAGCATATTCATCATTATTTTCAAATTTTGTGATTTTATAAACCTTAACTTTTAAAACTGTTTTGTTTTTCCAGTCATGGCTTAGGGAAAACATTTCCCAAATATCAGAAAGGAATAGGAAGGACATGCACCACCTGTAGTTTGGAATACATCACCTTTACAAAAGGGGATAGGTAGATATTAATTGCATGCAAGCAAGGTAAACATCAGAGGCACAGGATGCTTTCAGTATTTATTGAACTGCTGCTTCAAATACCTATAAAGGATGCTCAAGATATGGGGCACCACGGAGGTGAGAACTGCAATTGCAAAGCATAGAAGCTTGTGGTACCCAATTTAGAGAAGTAGTAAAACGTACTGGCACTTGTCTCAAAGACTTAAGCCAGCTTTACCCAGTCTGGTGTCCTTCCATCCTTCCTGACCATAAGCTATGCTGATTCAGGGAGGTGAAGAATAAAACACCTGACACCAGGGTAGGAAAGGCTGCCTTAAGCAATTAAGACACCACACACCCAAGGGACCTGTCTTTTTCCTGTACATGCTGTTCTTAACATGGTCTGAGGCTGCACACCTATACCCAGGGATACTGAAGCTTTGGCCCTCTGAAAGTTGTTGGATCCAAACTCCCAGCATCCCTGACCATTGCCCATCCTGGCTGGGACTGATAGGAGTTGGAGTCTAGCAGCATCAGGAGGGCACCACATTCCATATCCCTACTATATGGCCACTTACCAGAGAACTTAAAGGTAAAGGGACCCCTGACCATTAGGTCCAGTCGCGGACGACTCTGGGGTTGCGGTGCTCATCTCACTTTATTGGCCGAGGGAGCCGGTGTACAGCTTCCGAGTCATGTGGCCAGCATGACTAAGCCGCTTCTGGCGAACCAGAGCAGTGCATGGAAACACTGTTTACCTTCCCACCAGAGCAGCACCTATTTATCTACTTGCACTTTGACGTGCTTTCGAACTGCTAGGTTGGCAGGAGGAGGGACCGAGCAACGGGAGTTCACCCCATCGCGGGGATTCGAACCGCCAACCTTCTGATCGGCAAGTCCTATGCTCTGTGGTTTAACCCACAGCGCCACCCACATCCTGCGACCAGAGAACTTAGTGGGGGTTATTTGTAAGTAGACACATTCAGGATTGCACTGTTAGTGGCTTTTCAATCAGACCATAATGAGCTTAGAACAGAGATGTTTGGGTAATACATTGATCTATCAATTTTCCTTTCTGGAGGTTTAGATCACTCATATGGAAGAGAGGGAGCATAAGCACCTAGAACTGTGTTGGATCTTCTCAAATGTCAAGGTGGGTTTTATTCCCCCCCCTTTGTTCTGAAACCAGGATATTTATGTACTGCAATAAGTTACTGTGATAGCTACACAGAGGTAAGATGGTAGCCAAAGTTAAGCAAATGGCAGATTGCTTAATTTTAACAACCCATTTGTTCCTAATAACAGGTGCTAACTAGTGGCACAGCGTGGGGGGGAGGCCCCACAAGTGTGCTTGCCCTGGGTGCAAAATTTCAACACCCGGTACTGCCTCAATACAGTTGTATGCTTCCATCGCTGAGCTCCATTGAAAACAGTTTCTCCATGCAAACCAGGAAGTGTCTACTCCAGACAACGTAATGACTCCTCTTTTCTTATCTCTACAGCTGTGATCTGTTGAGTGACGCGGATGTCATTGGGCAGTTGAATGTGCATGTGTACTCCATCTGTTTCCCTCCCACCCACCCAGTCTTCCGCATGGCCCTGGGCACTGGCAACCCACACTACGCCACTGGTGCTACCCAACCTGAATGTTCAGGATAGCAACTCAAATATGAATACAAGCATCCATGAGGAAGAGAGAGCTTTAATGTTATTCAGTAAAAAGTGTCCTCGCTTCCATCTTTGTCAGGAGTAAGATCCCAGTCCCAGCTAAGGCAAGACTGGGGAACCTGTCACCCTCCAGATGTTGTTCAACTCCCATCAGTCCCAGCCAGCACAATGGTCAGGAATGCTGGGATTTGTAGTCTTCACAACATTCAGAGGGCCATGGACTAAGGGACATCCCTGAGCTAAGGGACACTTCAGCAAGGGAATTCTCAGGGTGGTGATATCTTCCATGTAAGTGACCTAAAATATATATTCTAAAATAATTAATAAAAGAGGTAAATGTTTATGTTAAGGCCATGGAGCGTTAGCGCATATCCAGGAGTTTTCTCTTGTTTTGAGTGACCCAGGATTGTCTTTTCAACTGGAAATATTTCCCAGTCTGAAGGGTGTTGGCCTTCTAACTGACAGTATGTCTTAGATAAAAGCTGGTCAAGCTTGCACCAATAGGTTTTGCAATAGGCTGCATCCTGCTAGGATCCAGAGCTCCCTTAGAGTCAGGACTTTGAGACTACTCCAGTGAGATGGTGCAAATATCACTTCTAGCTTATGATATAAACATTCCTGGTTTGTACTGGCATAGGAAACCACTTCTCCCCCTGACCCCCTAACCATCAGATGTAATTACAAAAACGTATATACACTGTACAAGCAAGAAAGTCCTAAAACAGCTGCAGATGTTTTTGCCAGATAGGGCTTGAATATCATGGCTCTTTTGGCAAAACCAAACAGCTGAGGTAGTTTATAGCAGGTCCTGCTTAACACCATGGTTGTTGGAAACCTGTTCGAGGTTCTCCATCATCAAAACCTGCGTCTTGTCCATCCAGTTCCCTTTCTGAGTTGACTTCCCCATCATCGCTGATGTAAGGCTATGCTCCGGCTCCTGCGGATCAGCTGCTGGCAAAATGGCATTGCTCTGTCCACGCTGGGAGTAGGTTTCCCTGGGCATCCCATCCCCAGAGCAGAGCTGAAGCCGGAAAACTGCCTGGAAGCCTCGCCGGAAGTTCTCGTTGAAAAAGCCATAGATGATGGGGTTGATGCTACTGTTGAAGAAAGCCAGCCAGTGAGCGAATGGGTAGATGTAGATGTTGATGACCTGCAGCTGTTCCTCGTTCAGGTCAGCGTAGTCAGAGAGCATCGCCAAGGTCCACAAGGGCAGCCAGGAGAGGATGAAAAGCAACGCCACGATGATGAGCATCTTGATGACCTTCAGCTTCTTCCTGCAGACAGAGTGGCGCTCCTGGCCTTGCTTCCCAGAGGCAGGCAACGAGGTGTTGAAGAGCGTGATCCCAATCCGGGCATACATGATGACAATGAGGGACAGAGGGGCCAGGTAGATGTTGGCAAAGAGCACGGTTGTATAGATCTTCCTCATGTCCTGGTTCGGCCAGTCCTCCCGGCACCAGTATATGGGGCTGGTTCTGTTGTCATAACCGAGCAACACTCGGAAATGCCGGGATTCTTCCACCTTCAACATCACGGCAGACGGGCACATGATGGCAATGGCCAGGACCCAGATGACAACTATGATGACAACTGCTGTCCAGATGGTGAGCTTCTGCTTGAAAGGGTAAACAATGGAGCGGAACCTGCGAGGAAGAGATAAAAACACCTCCAAGTTCATAAACAGACAAGGTTTCCATTCTGCGTGTCTCATATTCTCAACGTGTCTCCTTGGTGGAAAATAGGAAGTTGCCATATATTGATGCATCTAGTTCAGTACTGTCTACACTGACAGTGTCTCTCTGGGATTTGGGACAGATAGGGGACATTCTCAGCCTTACCTGGAGATGCCAGGAATTGAATCTAGGACCATCTGTATGCAAAACAGATGCTTTAGCAGTGAATTATAGTCCTTCCCTTATTCTGGCAGCAAAAAGGAGGAGCAGGACAGTGATCAGTACAGGTCCTCTCCACCTACCAGAGTGTTTCATGATGTTGAAGACTCTGTACTGTACCCAGCCAGTAAGAACAGTATTATCTCATCCACTAGGTACTTTGCAGGCTGCAGGAAGAAGAATTCACTGCAGCATTCTAGCTATTTTCCAAAAGAAGATCTATCAGTTGAAACTGAGGTTCAGGCCGCGTGTGTTTGTGTGGAATCCCAAACATCAAGGAAGGAATTCAATGCCACCTTGTCACAAAAGTTCTACAGTTCCCCCATCCACTGTTCTGTGAGTTCTGCTGACCACTGCCAATTGAAGGGAATGGGGTACTGGGGAAGGAGAGGAGGGAAAGCAGGAAGTGGGGCTTCCACTAGCAGGACTAACAGTAAGAGCTGTTCGACAGTGGAATTTGCTGCCAAGGAGTGTGGTGGAGTCTCCTTCTTTGGAGGTCTTTAAGCAGAGGCTTGACAACCATATGTCAGGAGTGCTCTGATGGTGTTTCCTGCTTGGCAGGGGGTTGGACTCGATGGCCCTTGTGGTCTATTCCAACTCTATGATTCTATGATTCTATGACCAATTAGTTGAATCCAGTCCTAGGAATTTGCCCTTGAGTGGGTGGTTGATTGTATGGGTTATTCCCATTAATTTATTTGGGGGCATTTGTATTCTGCCTATTAGCATTTCCAGGGCCATTAGCCTACGATCGTAAAACAATGAGCACTAAAACGGCAGATTTTTATTTTGAAAAAATAAGAATAAAAGAAGATGCTATGAAGTTAACGGAACCAGGAAAATATTAATAATAAAGGTTATTGTGGCCAGTACTAAAAATTATTCAGTCAGGTTGGTGTGAGGGAAATTGGAGTGGGCTCTTCTTTCAACAAATATAAAAACCAGAGGAAGAGAGGGGTGTGAAGAAGCAACACTTCTTCTTAACATAGCGCTAAACTGGTTTTGTGCATGGATAGCCAATATGGTACTCTTCAAAGGTTGTTGAAATATAGCACCCACCCATCTCAGCCAACATGGCCAATTGGCAGAAACTATGTGGGAGTTTTCTCCTTCATGGATCACTGCCTTGCCGTGTCTTAATGAGGGTGAAAAAGGAGAGCGCAAAATATGGTCAGAAGCTCAACATCAAAAAAACTAAGATCATGGCCACTGGTCCCATCACCTCCTGGCAAATAGAAGAGGAAGAAATGGAGGCAGTGAGAGATTTTACTTTCTTGGGCTCCATGATCACTGCAGATGGTGACAGCAGCCACGAAATTAAAAGACGTCTGCTTCTTGGGAGAAAAGCAATGACAAACCTAGACAGCATCTTAAAAAGCAGAAACATCACCTTGCCAACAAAGGTCCGTTAGTTAAAGCTATGGTTTTCCCAGTAGTGATGTATGGAAGTGAGAGCTGGACCATAAAGAAGCCTGATCGCCAAAGAATTGGTGCTTTTGAATTATGATGCTGGAGAAGACTCTTGAGAGTCCCATGGGCTGCAAGAAGATCAAACGCATCCATTCTGAAGGAAATTAGCACTGAGTGCTCACTGGAAGGACAGATCCTGAAGCTGAGGCTCCAATACTTTGGCCACCCCATGAGAAGAGAAGACTCCCTGGAAAAGACCCTGATGCTGGGAAAGATGGAGGGCACAAGGAGAAGGGGACGACAGAGGACGAGATGGTTGGACAGTGTTCTCGAAGCTACTAACATGAGTTTGACCAAACTGCGGTAGGCAGTGGAAGACAGGAGTGTCTGGCATGCTCTGGTCCATGGGGTCACGAAGAGTCGGACACAACTAAATGACTAAACAACAACAATGTGGGAGTTGAAGTTTCACAACTTCTGAAGGACATCAAATTGGCTGGCCCAACTCAGACCATCGGACCATCTAGCCCAGAACTTTCTGCTCTGATTGGATAAGCTACCATGGCTGGTTTATTTAATTTATTTATCAAATTTCTTTCTCACCCCTCCTCCCAGCCTTGGATACGTGTCTTTCCAAGCTGGTATGTGATTAGAGGAAGAGCTGTGATGGCGCATCAGGCTCGCATACAGAAGGTCCCAGTTTAATCCCCAGCATCTCCAGGTAGGCCTGGGAATGTCCTCTGCCTGAAACCTCGAGGAGCCAATGCCAACCAGCATGGAACAATGGTCTGATTTAGTATAAGGCAACTTCCTATGTTCCGATGTAGAAATGTCGCAGGTGGAGCCTAAGACCTCATGAGCTCCATCATGATGCTAAGGCTCCTTAGTCATAAACTCTGTGTCCTGCTAAACTGTGCATTTACTCTGATAGGCCTGCAATCCCCACCTCTTCTCTCTCTCTGCCACTTTTCCTGCAAAGCTTGAATCACAATAGGTTTGCAGAGGCAGTCTCTCACATCAGTCGAAAAAAGGCCACAAACCCCCACATGTTCTGAAAAGCTCCTTCACACAGCAACAAGCTCACCACTGCATAATTGTGCTGTCTTGTCCCACCGGATTTCTTCCTGACGCTACTGCACAATGGCATAATTGCACAAGAACTGAAGAGGCTTACAAAGACAGCAACCTTGGACAATTGGTACGACTGACATTTTATGTGTTCCATATCCATTTCCAGGCTGTTACAGACACATACCTGTCGACTGCAATTGCCACTAAAGTGAAGACAGAAGCCGAGACAGATATTCCCTGGACCATTCCGTTCATCTTGCAGGCAATATTCCCAAAGGGCCATCCTGGAGTTTGAAAAGAAAATGGTTATCAGATATTGAAACTGCTTTCATAGCATACCAAAAGGAAAGGACACATTGAGGCTAAACTGGGTGCTTGTCAGGTATGTTTAAACATACACAGTCCTTGTCTGCGTATGAAGTTGAGGGTGAGAGGGTCTTTTAGTTCCCACTAAAATCAATGGGTGGTATTCAACAAAAAAGAAGAAGAGTTTGGATTTGATATCCCGCTTT